CACACACACACACACACACACACACACACACACACACACACACACACACACACACACGCATGAAATTATGACTCAAATCTCTCTACTCACTCCTTTGTGCCGTTTGATTTGCATGGATGTTGATTGTGCTGTTTCCTTCCTTTCCTTTTTGGTGTGCATTGATCTTGATACCTGGATTAGGAACTAATTGCACCACTCGACATCCGCCGAAATTCTGAATGAATCTGGACAGACGGTGCTGATGCATTCGCAACGTAGGCGGATGGCGAGTTGTGCAACTAGTGGTAGGTCCTTATAGCTCTACATCATTACGGGCTACAATTCATTGTTGTTGTTGCGAGCCTTGCATATCCGTTTTCCCCTGAATGGAACATACCATGAGATGCATTCATCATGATGGATATCCACGATGATGCATGAAAGGGGAGTTAGTGGAATCGCTATTGTCTCTGTGGAAGGGAGGTGTCCTATGCCAGCTAGATGATGGGGCCTTACGGCCTCTTCAGAAATCCAAAGATAGTTTTAACCTCAATCAGGTATCTAAAAATAGTAAAATTCAATGTATCGAGTCCGAAAACCCTGATGCTGCACCCGGTTTCCAGCAGGTGTAGCTCCCCACCAATGGCCAAGAGCGTCCGGAGGAGGAGGCCTACTACAGGGAGATGTTCATACACCGCTCTCTCTGGTAGAACCTATCTGGGAAAACCCTGCCCCCCTGAAGAATTGGAAGGGGGTGCTGCCAATTCTTGTCCAGAGCCGAGTAATGAACAAGTCCTGTACCTGGACGGGGAAAGGCTCAGCTGTTTTTTTTTCCCGTTTTTATTTTTTTAACCTCCGCCCACAGTGCTACAGAGGGTGATAGGAACATCGCCCGGTAGCACCTTTTTTAGATGACTGCAATCTATTGGTGGGGAGCAGCACCTGCTGGAAACCGGGTCCAGTGTCCCTTATGCAGTACGAATGCTGCAAAACATTACCGGGGGCATGACTACTGTGGAACACTCCTCCCGTGAACCAGCGGGCAATTCAAGTAAGCCTCTGCGTGAGTGAACGGGCTAAGTACCAGTGGGGGATGCGTGCTGAACGGAGCGAAGTGTGCGTGAATTGCCGTGTCCGTGGAGTTGAGTGTGGTCACTGTGGTGTGTGTTGAGTTGGACACACTACAGCCCCTTGCAGGGGTGGGGTGGGGTGGGGTGGGGTGGATATTGCGACCGGTATGGTTCCGCTTTTGAACACCGTGTCCTGGCTGTAGTGGTTAAGAGACTTGGCTCTTGAGGCCGAAGTCACCGGTTTGAATCTGTGTGTGCACGGAGGAGGGCTGAGGCCCAGATGTACGAAATCTACGGATCCATGACTACATTACCCGGCTTCGGCTAATGAAAAGCAGGGGTGAACAAACATAATTTTTTGCTGAGATAGAGAGTGACCCCCAAAGCCACTTCCTACCGCTACTAAGTTCCACCTCCACCGGGGGGGGGCACCAGGAGGGGCCAGAGGAAAGGCTCAGCCGAGTCACCGTTATATGAAAGAGAGTTTACACAGTCTCGGGGGGGACCACCAGACATGCAAAGCGGCTAGGATTATGATATAGACCAGACTGTCTCAGCATAGGACCGTTCAAATGATAAAACCGTTAAAACGGTTTGTTTGTCCTTTTTTTAAGAGTTTTTTTATCCTTTTTCTTTTTTCTTTTTTTTTTTAAAGAAAGAAAAAAAGAGAAGGGCAACGGCCTTTAGATATCATCATCGAGCTGAACAGCCCCAGGTCATTCAGAATTATGTCATTGCATACAGGACTCGAACTCTGGTCTGTAATTCAACAGTTGATGGGTGTACCAGCGGAGACCATTCCAAAAATGTTCACGATTGCAGGGGCAGAGAGCAGTAGTACACCTTTCCCGAAAAGGAAGCTATCAATGCTGCTGCCTCGGTGTCCTTCTGCCATGATGGAAGGAGGTGTGGAGTGCGTTCTTTACGTAAGGGACACTGGAGACAGGACACAGTTTCCAGCAAGCCAGAAAGAAAAAAAAGGTCGATTGGTTGTCAAAAAAAAACAAAAAGGCAAAAAACAAAAAGAAGAGGTCTTGTTATTTTCTTGCATCTGGGTATGAATGTCAAAAGTTCTCGAAACAGATCATCGATGCGCTGCTTCATTTATTGTGCATTGGTAAGGAGAAGCAGTTGTGCATCCAATGCAAATCGGCATTGGACAATAGCTTGATGCTATCCTTATAGAACAGCGATTGCCATCCTTGGAGTGATGTCGTTGTCACTTTTAATATCTTACATGTTTTGGCCATTATTAGTTGGGGGGGGGGAGCGGGAAGGGCGCGGAGGGGGCGTCATCATTGTGGCTGTCAGTCTTGCATTTGAAACGGTTTTCACCTCAGCAGTAGCAGATGCAGATCCCAGCGCTCGATCCCTAGACCTTACCACACCCTCATACAGAATCGAGTCGACCCCTGTGTGTGTGTGAACCCGTGACCTGTGTTTTGCTCGTTGACTGATGTCTGTCGTAGGTCTGTGTAGCTGTAGGGGTTCGATCTGTAGGTCTGTCGAGTAGGGGTCATAGTTGTGTAGAGGTTGTAGCTATAGCAAATCTGAAAGGTCAAGATCGTAGCTGCTACAGCCCTGAAAGGTCAAGGTCGTAGCTGCTACAGTCCTGAAAGGCCAAGTCCACCGACTTCCGGAAGGTCCGGAAGTGGCCTTTCGAGTTTATCCTCACATTACCCACAGCAGACCAGCGGCAAGTGGGCAAGTGGTGAGTCCACTTCGCTCAGTCAGCGGTACCCAGTCCCAGTCTCACTTTGTACAGTCAACGGTACCCAGTCCCAGTCTCACTTTGTACAGTCAGCAAGTACCACGAGGGACTGTGTGCACCGTGGGCCTGGTGGAAAAGGGCAGACCAGCGACGTACAGAAGTATAAATCAAGAGGCAGCGTCCAGCCATTCATTCATTCCTGCGTCAGCCATGTGGAAGCGCTGCCCTAGCGTCTTGTGCGAGGTGGTCTGGAGATGCCCGAGGACGAAGTGGGCCGAAGGAAGATAGAGTATCCATAGCTAGTAGGGGTTAGGCGGCAATAGCCGCTGTAGTTTAGAGACAGAGTTCAGTGTGTGTGAGTAGCAGAGTGCATGCGTGTGGGGGTATTCAGGGTGATCCAGAGTCGAGTATGTGCGAACAGTGGTGTTGGACAGTGACGAGAGTTGGGATGTACAGGCGCTGATGCGCCATAGCCTGTTGAAGTGAGTTTGCATCTGAACTGTGTTCTCGACGTCCATATCTCTGAGCTTTGAGTGGGCACTTGGCGCCAGTGTGAGCTGCCATCTGTTTGCATGTATGCGAAGCAAAGAAGAAGGTGAGTCTGATTGCACATTCATTATCATTGTGCTGTGCTGCTTTTCGTTATGGATCGTCATTGCTATGAGATCCTCAGTAGGGGGTATTTGAAGAGCGCACACTTTTGTCATAAAACCACCAGTACCTTTCCCTGCTTGAAAAACAAATGCCCGCCGGTTAACGCGGGAGGCGGGCAGGCCCGGCGCAAAATGGCTGGTGGTGCCAGCCAAAATGAGGCCCGCGCCGGTTCGTTTTTTTTTGGCGCACAGGGCAGTTTTTGGCTCTACCGGCGCGAAATGGCCGGTCCCGCCAGCCAAAATGAGGCCTGTGCCAGTTCGTTTTCTTTTTGGCGCGCAGGGCAGTTTTAGGCTCGGCATCAATAGCTGAGAAAGGTACTGGTGGTTTGCAGGCCTACTCGAAACACCAATTTTACGATGAAACCGCACTCTTCAGGGGAACAGTGCTAGCAGATCGAAATGGTTGGCGGCGCCAGCCGAAAAGGAAAAAAAAAAAAAAACGTAGCGCCAGCGCTTCGACGAAGCTTGGCGTGCACTTCTTTCCTGCCTCGGCAAAATGAGGCTCGGAGGTCGAAGTGGTGCAAAAGTACAACGCCCTTGTCGTATAGGTGCCATGTTTTACGGTGTCGCCACTCGCTACTGGCTGTTTCATTCCTTGTTGTTGTTATTGGGCCTGGCTCCACTACACAACGCTCGGCATGCATTTGGCTGCTTTCTGGACTGGATGCATCCAAAATCTTGGACTCGTCTGAATGCACCTGGGCCAGAAAGTGTCCAAGTGAATGTAGTGTTGTGTATGTCCTTGATTGTTAGAGTTACCTGTCTGATTAGATGAATGCAAATGCTCTGTTGCTGAACGCAGGGGACAGATCCACCATAACAAAATCTTGCGGAAAAAAAATGGTCCTAGCTATAAATAGTAAATACCAATGTGGATTGAATGTCATGTTTACTTGCTTTAGAAGGGGGTTGGTTTTGAAATTTGAACCAATGCTTTCTGGGTCTCCTGGCACTGAATCACCTTGGAGTCGGACGTCATGCGTTTCGTCATGTTCATGTATTGCTGGATTTTATCTTCTTCTCTCATTAGTCCTCGCACAGCTGATACCTGTACATGATGGCCTGATCAACTCCTCCCCTCGCTATGCTCCGCCTGTTCCTCACATTCTTCCTACGTCTGTACCTTCCCCTGCTCTCCCCCCTTCCCTTCATGTCTGATTACTGTTGCCTACTTGAGGTCTCCGCCTATTGCCGGATGCTTCAGGTGAGCTCCTTTTCTTCCAGTGGAATCGTCTGATATACTTCTCACATTGTTGCTGCTCCTCCTGCCTGCTTTGTTTACCTTGCTCTGCGCTTCTTCCCCCTTCCCTTCATGTCTGATTACTGTCGCCTGGTTTAGGTCTCCGCTATTGCTGGATGCTTCAGGTGGGCTCCTTTTCTTCCAGTGGAATCGTCTGACACGCTTCTCACACTGTTGCTGCTCCTATCGAAATATCACATCAAGAGCATACCCGTTGTTGAAGCTGGACAAAGCAATATTCATAACTTCATTACGCAGTCAAGCGTTGGCACCATGCTAGCAGAATGTAGCGGCCTGGATTGGTTCAATCATGTGGCAGACAGGTCTCTCGGAGAGCACAATCTCCCGCTGAAGTCTGCCGATGAGCTCTTCAAGGTATGAGTAGTTTTTGGACCATTCCTTCCACCTCTTTCCCTCTGCATTCTTCAGTAAAAGGTTCGGCGAACAACGCCACCAAACGAGGTTATGAAATCTGTCTGGTGGACTCTGACTCTGACTCCTGTCTCTTATACACATCTAGATGTGTATAAGAGACAGCTCTCTCTCTCTCTCTCTCTCTCTCTCTCTCTCTCTCTCTCTCTCTCTCCCTCAAGCACGGCCGCATGCACACACAGGCACACACATGCACATGCAGGAGGTGCAACGAATAAAGGAAGTAAATCGGTATCTGATGTCCCTAGGGGTCGTAGGATCCTTGACTTCTCCTTTTTCTTTTTTCTTTTTTCTTTTTTCTTTTTTCTTTTTCTTTTTTCTTTTTTCTTTTTTCTTTTTTCTTTTTTCTTTTTTCTTTTTTCTTTTGGTGGATGGGCAAGGCAAAAAATAGGGGGGCATGAGCAGCCCACCCACCCCACCCCGGCCACCCGCCTCGTGTACAATAGGACCAAGGATTAGAACAGTTACGGGTTCCATGGGCGTGGCCCGGGGCCTGACTTCATTGTCTCCTTCTGAGGAACATGGGAATGGTCAGACACATGGGGACAATAAGTGGCTGTCGACAGGTATCCCACTCTGCCCACCGAAACAGCAGGGGTTATGGGTCATCTGATATGGAATATGAAAACCACCGAGCTAAGCTGCTGATTGACCAATGGATTTGGAAGATTGCCTCGATCAAGGAACTGTGGCATTTCTAGGATGTAGCAAAGTGATGGAACACTGTTTNGGGGGGGAGAAGCCTGATCTGTCCAGAATTGTGTATCGCTCTGGAGATCCAACTCCATGACCATAATTGAAAGTTTCGAAACAGTTTCTTGTATCAAAGCTGGTGCCTGATTACTGGACGGACACTGACAAAGCACCATAGAGGTGGTGGAAGGGGAGAGAGTGTAGAAGCAGGCAATGCGAAGGTGCTCTTGTGTGGAAATGATCTCTGTGACTGTGTGTTTGTTGTTTCATATCGAGGTGAGCACAATGAAGTGTGTTGATCATCTTTGGAGCATTTGCCAGTGTGTGTTCAAGGAGGAGATAGGAAGTGAGCGGCACGAAGCAAGACAAAGCGGCTTGGGGTTTCAAGAAGCAATTGGAGGCTGGAGGGGCCTCAGAGAACAGTTCACTTCCTCTTGTTTTTTTTTGCTGATGTCATCACTATGAGAGCCTGTGATGCCCGAGCGTATGTACTGTGCCTTTTTTTATTTTTTTATTTTATACTGTGCCATTCTTGTACTCCTAAGGGTTTGAAGATCCTCATGCGTTCTCTGTACGTTAGTTAACTTCCGAGCTGCGGTCGTCTTGGTGGTGTCGATGTTTTCTTGTGGAATCCGTATCGGGTCGTAGAGTGTCCGTATCTCTGCACTCATTTTAGATTTAGGCACTAATAGGCAGTGATGACTGTGGACGCTTATCGTGGCAAAAAAAGTGTTGAAGCTCACTCTCCCTTCATCGAACCCCTCGTTTCCTTCCCCACCCCTTCGCTTCCCTTCTTGATCCCATTTATGTTCTCACATCGCAAAAAAAGGAAGGTTGAATCTGACGCGCGGAGTTGCATTTGTTGCACTGCACCTTCATTCCGCATCTTGTGCAAGCCAGCCAGATGTTGCTCCGGCGGTGAGTCCCACCATTATTCTTTTTTGTCCCTCCCTTCCATCATTTCCCCTAACTCCAACCCGCGCTTTGTAGCATGATCCCCCTCTTCAATCTATCATAATCCTTCGATGATCTGCCCACTGCTGCTGCTCATGTACTCTCTCTCCCTCAATCATACATGGATGCCAACAGGCTGATGGTAGGTTTGGAGACTTGAAGGGAGTGTCCAACAGCCTCATCTTTCCCAAGGGATTGAGCAGCGTGATGATCCCGAATTTGCGCAAGCACATGTGGCAGCAAACTGGGTTCGGGTTCGTCCATGGTAGCGCCAACGGCAGCTACCTATATAGAATGAGAGCTTGTGAATGCAGACACGTCCATCCTACGTCAGAGACCCCTGCCTTACAAAAAACGTGCCTGTTTACCCCACTTTTAACCAAACATGTAAAGAAAGCTTTTTCTTTGTGCTTCCCTTTAGGCTGCCCGCTTCCCATCCAATTCGTCCTTTGTAGGGCTGCCGCAGCCTTTCCATATCCTTCGGGATATACATGGCAATGGTGCTAGGATTCACTCTGGCTTTCCCCGAAGCTGGTTTGGTAGGCAGGCTCTGTCCACCTTCTTGATAATACATACCTCAGTCTTCAAGTCGGCAAATTGCCAAATTTTCCTTCCAGGTGACTGTTCGAGTGTCTCAGCGTCCCCAACGCCTTGCTCTTCTTCTCAATTGCACATTAGAATCGATGTAGGCCTTCCACCTCCTTTTTAAGAGCTTCGTACTCGGCTTCCTCCGTTCTGATCTCCTCCTCCTTCTCCTCCTTCCCTTGCGAACCTTCCTTCCTCTTGAGTTCCTCCATTTCTTGCTTGAGCCTTTCCTTCACCTGGGAATTGAGAAGCTCCTCCCCCTCTCCTCTTCGGGCAACCTATTGACATCCTCTACTTTCTTGCCCCCATTAGATTTTGCCTTGAGTTCTGAGATCTCATTTCGCAGTGTGATTAATTATTTTGCTCCTTCGGATCGAGATCGACAGGAAGATCAACCTTCCAGCCGAGCACTGTTTCACATATGCTAACTTCATGCTGGATCTAACTTCCTCCTCCATACAACTAATGAATGAGTTCTTATCCTTCTTTTTTCAAGCAAGGCCTTCTCGTCCTCTGCTTGTTGTGCCGCATCAGCGTGTCCTTTCTTCTTCTTCTTGCTTTGGATGATCTTTCCTCTGGCACTCCTCCTCCAGATCTGATCAGCAAAAGAGATCGTATAACTCGTGTTGATCGTTCTCTTTCCTTGTAAGTTACCTCCCCTGATCTTGAGTATCCCGAGTTGTTGTAACCTCCGTAGTTGTTGTAGCCATTACGAGGAAGGTAAGTATCGAGGTTACGACAACTCTATTAGATCCTTATAGTTCTTCCTTACAGGCGGCTCTTGCAGGAAATGTTCCCATAGCCTCAGCACGACACAAGAACGATGAGATCATGAGATCACATCCATCATCTGTTTCTTGCTCCCACTCCCTCACTCCCTCACACACGATATCACTCCCTATCCGGTACGATATCACTCCTTATCCCATACAATATGGGGTATAACTCCGAGTAGCCGCAGTTGAAACGAGGCGAGATGTTGGCATGACGTGCCACTTCAAGATATGGCAATCTTGCTGATGTGGTGGCTATCCAAGTCCAGAGTCCAGCGCATGTCCGAAGTCAAGATTGTTACCAACTCCGACTACTACTGTTAGGAATTTCAAGAATCTCAAGTACTTGCATCCATCGTCTCGCTTACACGCTTGATTCAGATGAGATCACACTTGATTGCAACTCCACAGAAAATCGGAATTGAAGAATCGCATTATCACACCCAAAATAGTTGATGAAACCAGAAATGGCGACGAAGAATTCACTGCCCTGCCTCCTTAAGCAGAATGCAACAAAACCAGGTCAAGAAACCGTCCACTGAACAGCAAATTCTCACTGGCTATGTCTGCTCTCTCTCTCTCTCTCTCTCTCTCTCTCTCTCTCTCTCTCTCTCTCTCTCTCTCTCTCTCTGTGTGTGCTGAAAGTAGCGCACCTCCAGTCTCACCAAGGAGTGGAAATATGACGAGTGATTTCTGAAAGAGTGTTTTGCGGCTTTTGCCCCAACTTGTCACTTTTGAGGAGCTGCTACCTGCCTAGGTGTACAGTGTTGCCTCCCAAAGGAGAAGCCTGAAACTACCAACCAGAAATTCCCACTGCTATGCTAGGCAAACAAAGGCTCTACACACAGGTCCCAGGTTCAAAACTCGCTGGCTTCAAAACCGTAAAGCAAAAAAAAAAAGACAACTGTACTTGCTTTGTTTGGTTCCAGGTTCAAATTCTGGTACAGTGGTACAAGAAAAAAACAGCAGACACTTTAAGACGAATAAGGTCGCGGACGAGTTCAGGAATTTACCCGACAAGAAAAGATTAACGGAAAAGGCTAACGAGATTGCCCCGGCGTTATCAAAAACCCTAAACCCTTAATTACTCAACAGACTCGAACAGAGAGAACTAACAGAAAAACGTGCTAAAATCTTGGAAAGGTAAAATTATTAATTATACTTTCTCCAACAGTAGATAGATAGACGCTATAGTACGTCAGAAAGTTTTAGAGATTAGAAGTGACTATTCTTGTTTCTTACAGATTTATAAATGATTTCTGTAGACTTATATCTATAGTTTTCGTAGAGAGTCTAGAGACGAATGAGGATATAGTACCGATATACCTGAATTGCAGGTTCTGGGTCATTTTCATGATAGCTAGAAGAATAGTGGATATTACTGGATAATGTCATTAATATTAAATATATGCCATAAAGGCCCATTATTAAAGGGCTTGTGTTGTTTTAAACCAGATAATAATAATATAGCATGATGAGCCCAAGTTACACCTTAAATAGTTGGGCAAGTTGCGGGTTCAAAATTCAAATCCTGCATCCCAACATGCTGCTTCGAGAGAGCGTTGCTGCTATTTGTCACTGATGCGAAGAAAGAGCAGCACCGCCCTTTCCAGCGGCCGGTGACGAATACTGCGCCAAGGATCTATACATATTACATTCTTCATAATGACTGGTTCACAACTGTAACTATTTCTTTTCAAATTTTCGTCCGGACAATGTGAATTGTGCCATCGACGTAATTTTGAATCCTGTTACCGTGAGTCGAAATCAGAGCAAATTGACATGAAATGATGAAAATCAACTGACCGTTATCGCCACAGTGCTTCAAGGAGAGGTTCAATGGTAGCTACAGTAGGGGGAAGGGAGGTGCAGTTGCTGTGGGGGGAAGGGAGGTGCAGTTGCTGTAGGGGGAAGGGAGGTGCAGTTGCCGTAGGGGGAAGGGGGAAGAGGGGTGGAGGAGGAGTGCACTGGGCAGGAAGGAGCCTTTGTGTGTGGCAAGAAGACACAGCTAAGGGGGAGAAGGTTGTTTGCAATACCCACACAAGTTGGCAGAGAGAGGGGGGTGAGGGTCGTGCTGTTTAGCGGTGCAGTGGGTAGCGATTGGGTGTTGGATGACGCTTGATTGCTTGCCAATCATGCCAGTAAGGCGTATTGGGAGAATGGCTTCCACTGTCACGCAAATTGACGCAATCAATCAAGCCGGCAGGGCTTAATGGGAGAAAGGCATCCACAGTACTGTCACGATTGACACCAAAGACTGATGCCATCGTTCTTGGTGACAATGGTGAGAAAGACAGTGGGAGATGCTACCGTAGTCGAGAAAGAGAGCGATGATGCTGGAGACATCAGTCAATCCAATCATACTGAACTGTGATGGGACTTCACATTTCCACGTTCATATTTCTCTCGTACTACTCGTACTGAATACTTTGTGATCATATTTCTTGATGGCGAGTTTGTTTTCGGTGACACACTGGGGTCATTGCATTATATTTTTTTACCCAAGCTCAAGGCCAGCTCTGCCGGCACTTTGAAGTGAGCGATTTCCTGCTACCAACCAACTGTCGCATAAGTGTGAAAAGTGGCCCCGTTACGGAACAAAGACAATGGACTGGGAGGGCGGGGGGGGAAGGAAAGAAAAAAAAGACATTGGATGATTGGACTGAATGGATGGCTCTGGGGGGGTGGAATATTGCCATCCACATAGGGGGGGGTTGAATGGGGTTGTAGTAGTACCGTTGTACCACCTTTGTTTTTCTCTCTTTTTTTTGGCCAGCTTTTGGACCATGTCTTGACTTTTGTGTGTCAATGTGGGTGGGTAATATTGGCAATTTGGCATCCACTCCACATAGTTGGTGTTTTATTGTTTTTTTTTTGTTTTTTGTTTTTTGTTTTGGCATCCACCTAGGTTTGAATGTTGTTGTGCTTCTTTTTCGCTTCTGTGCTTTTGCCATTTGGAGCATATTTTTCGATTTATGCATGTCATCCGTGTGCAGGGGGCATGCTAATTAATAATTATCCTTCTCTGTATGATTGCGATTTTAACGGATGAATGGGGTGGGTGGGGGTATGTCGAGCGGACTCACGCTAGGACTTTTTCTGGATGTATCTCACTGCATTTACGGCCTAGTCGGGGTCCTAGTGTGAGTATGCCCTCAGAATCTGTTGCAATTCCAAAGCAACCTTGCCTGCGCCAAGGACTGAAATTTTGGAAACATGCTACACCTGGACTGACAGCATCAAAACTCCATCTGATCTCCATGATGTCCCAGTTCATGGCTTCCTCCTATCCTTTCCAGTTTTGGGCTTTTTTTTTTCTTTTTTCTTTTCTTTTATTTTATGTGGTCCGATGGAGCACGGATCAGATATGAAACTGATCAGAACAGATACTGCACTTGATCGTACTTAGCCAAAAAGTCGAGAAAGGTACACTTTTGGGCTGTTTTTGTCTGCTTTCTGTTCCCAGTTTTGTGATTGCCTTCGAGAGAAACAACCACGTGAAGCATTCATTGTACCCGAAAGAAACTTGTGATTCGTGACTACCATCTTCACATGAATAGACCGCCCGGCCATTATAGCTATATATTTCGTGCATCTTTCAGACTGAGTCTAGAATCTATAGATACAGTGACAATGACCGGCTGCTCTATTCGGGTGAAGACGGTAGCTTTGCATATTTTTTTTGTCACAACAACGCAGAGAGGAGAGCGGGATACCTTTTGCTTCTTCAACAACAACACTGGTTACTGACTGGGGAAAGAACATCCTGCAGATTGATGCGGATCAGCCTGTCCTGGAGGCTTTCAAGCTCATGGAAGAGCATCACATCGGAGCTGTTCCGGTGGTTGAAGGAAGTGGAAGTCGCAAGATTATCGGCAATGTCAGTGCGCGAGATATACGTTTCTTGTTGATGGAGCCTGGTGTATTAGATAACCAGAGGTAAACCCTCACTCACCCCCTCTTCTAGCATCTCTTTCCGTTTGTCTGCCTCTCTTCTTTGCTTCCTCCCTCCCACAACTCTCCATCCTCTTCGCCGCCTTGCCGTCTCCTTTTCTCCATGCCCCCCCTCCACCCTCCCCTCCTCCGCCCTTCCAGCTGCGGGCCCTCTCCCCTGTTTATCTTCCTCACAATCGCAGGCTATACTCAACACATTCACATCGCCCACTTCGTAGAATGCTCTACCCGTTTCCGGGCACTTCAGATCCTTGCCCGTGCGAGATGGTCGCCCATCACACTGCTTAACTGATCCACCCCAGTAATCCCCCTTCCTGCTTCCGAATGTTCTACCTCCCTTTTGCTCTCCCTTCCCCTTCACACTTTTGTTCCAAAGCACTATAATAAGACCATTGCTCAAACATACAAGATATATCCAGGTACGTGAGAGGGACGGTGAAGGGGAAGTTCAAAGAAGAATGAGAAAAATGAATGAATGGTTTCAGTGTGCTCTTCATGTTTGCGTTGTGTATTGTTATCGTTTTTTTTGCGAAGTGTGCCCTTTCAGTTCATAGATATGTGATAACATATCCAGGTTCGCTCAACTCTTCTTCTGCCGCACACTTAGACAAAAGTCTGCCAATGTTTTCCTGTAATGTTCGAGCAATGTCTGTGCCGTGCCACCCCCATCACGGGGCCGCCTCAATTCCTTAACTGCCATCGAAACTAAGAAATCAGAGAGGCCGATTGCCTCGGCGTTTCTTGGTACATAGTCTAGCAGTGACTATACTACGTTCCCTCCCAATGGCTCATTGCTCAGCAGGTTGAAAAGCCAGTGACCATAACAGTTTCCCCTTACGTTTAAAAAAAAGAAGAAAGGAGTATCGGTCCTATTGGAAAAACTAAAAAAAAAAGAACGCATGACGTTATGGGCATTGCTTCATTGAAGTTCGTTCTATTCTCATTGGAATACCAGTCCGTCCGTTCCTTTGCAGAGAAGTCTCCCCATACAAATACCATTAAACAACACATCCCACTGACACTGTGATTGCTGATCATTGCTCTCATAAAGGGAGGGTAAATTACTAAATTGTCCGAGGAGTGAAGAGCAGTTTAGAGATAGCCTAAAGCTCACAAGTCACGACCACTTTTGGAGTCTTTCCATTGAGTACCCCACCATTCCTGTTATTTATGTCTGTCTTTCTTTCTTTCTTTCTTTAAGCCTCTTGCCCGCCGTAAGTGAAGGCGGGCCTGTATATCTACGTGAGGCCTATTTAGGCTATTTTAGTATTTTGGAGATTTTTCGTGTGTCGGGTACCAGACGGTTGCAGCACGCCAGTTGGTTACAGAGCAACGTGAGGCTTCTTGGCTCCTTCCAGAAGCAGCAGCTGCGTCATATAGTTGAGCCCAGGGCTCATTTGGTTGAGGCCCTGGGCACAGGCATCCAGGGGCCAACAAGTCACGAAGCGGCCGCGGACCAATGAGAAAGCAGCACCGTCGTCACACACATGCCGCGAGCCAATGAGATGGCAGGAAACACTTGGAGCCTGGACAACGGGGGCACTGGATGCTGCGGGCCCTTGCAACTGTGTGAAGGGCCCAGGGTGCAGACACTTTGGCCCAACGAGAATTCACTGGGCCCCAGCCCAGCAGGCCAAGCAGCGGCCGATGCAGGGCTCACTTTCCATAAAGGAAAGTGCCTGCCCCAGCTACGGGCATTCTGGCCTGGGCAGGCGATGCGGGCACGCTGTTGCTTTGCCATGCGGTAGCTGCGCTAAGCAGGCAGGCTGGACGCGCGTACGGGCGCAAGAGGTGAGAGGGAGCGCTGCGGTGGCAGCGGGCGCACGGCGGCCATAGCCGGGCTGCACGTGCGGAGGCGGGTGATGTCGATGGTGGTCTTCGGGTAGGAGGCGGGGTGTGATGAGGGGAGGAGAGAGAAACATACCTGGTGTATGCTGGCAGTCTGCATTGCTGTTGACGTCATGTACATTGGTCTTCAACTTCGATGTGATTTTGTTGCAAGAACATAGATAGGCTAGATAGACTGAGTAGTGTGGGCTGGGCACTGGACGCTGGGCGCCAGTCAGTAGGAGCGACATTGGATACTATGTTGGTGCGGCCAGAGAGCGTCGGCATTGACATTTGAGTTCATCGTATTGCTCTTATTTGGATGGAATCTTGGTGCATTGTGCTCTCTGCTTGGTACATGACTACCTGGGCTACTTCGTGATTTTGCAATTTGGACTTCTGTCTATCGCTCTCGCTCATGTTCCTTGCATGTATTTATTTATGTATTTATTTTATCGACGGCCGGAGTGCCCCACCATTCCATATTCTCAATTCCACTGTATGTTCTTGTCACTGCATTCATATCCTCTATCGTGCCGAGCATTGTTTTCTGCTTCTACTCTCCACTACCATTCTTCCCCGAACACAACCTCACTCTGAGTGCATCAGACTGGAAAAGTAGCTTGTATACGTTCATGAATCATGATGAGGGTGCATTGTTTTGGGGGGAGGACGGTAGTTTGGAAAAGGCACGCTAGGCGTCACTAGCACTATCTTTCCTGCACTGAGTGGCACCCAGCCAGTTCGTTACAAGAACCAATCGTTGTCTTCTGCTTCCACTCCCGACTACCATCTTCTACTCCCGTCTTCTGCTTCTACTCCCGTCTTCTGCTTCTACTCTCGTCTTCTGCTTCTACTCCCGTCTTCTGCTTCTACTACGGTATACATTCATGAATCATGATCAGGGTGCATTGGTTGTGGAGGAGGACGGTAGTTTGGAAAATGCAGGCTATGTAGGGACCCAGGCACTGACAGGCAGGCCTTTTGAAGCCAGTGCATCAGGAGCAGGACATCGGCCTGCTTCCTGGACCATTGATCAGAGATCCGAATGAACAGTCCAGGACCCAGGCCGATGCAGCCTCCAGTAGGCCCAGCGCTGCGAAAGTGGGCTAGCACTCTGTCGAGGCACGCAGTGTTGGGAGTGGCACTTCGGCATGCTGCTTGGATGCAGCCCCAGAGGAGTTGTGCAGCTAGCGCTAGAGTAGTGTTAGGGAGATAGGAGATAGCGTAGCAGAGGCCAGGGAGGTGCTGCTGCTGGGGAGATTCACCTGAGGGAGCCATAGCTGGAGCTCCATCGCCAGGCAACAGAGGGCCTTCACCCGCAGCACAGGACAGCTCAAGATCTTTTGCTGGTCAGTATCAGGTTGCATGGCTGAGAGAGAGGGAGAGAGAGAGAGGAGAGATTCTTCTTCTTCTTCTTCTTCTTCTTCTTCGTTTTCTTCTTCTGTCTCTTGCGCGGGCCTCCATATCCACCTTCCTTTTCGATCACACACACACACACACACACACACACACACACACACACACACACACACACACACACACACACANTTGCCTGCTGATTTGTAGGTTTGATGAGCTTTCCCTGTTTCAGTTGTTTTATTTCTGGGGTCGTGTGGGAGTCCTGTGCTTTTGTTGATGGTCTGGTCTCTTATACACATCTAGATGTGTATAAGAGACAGTCCTTCTCTCTCTCTCTCCCTTCCCCCATACCAGCGCCCATCCGTTTTTTTTTTTTTTTTTTTTTTTTTCGGCTTTCTATTTGTTTTTCGTTTTTCTTTTTTTTTCCTGGTCCTTGGCTAATACCGCGAGCACGGTTCCACTGGCAAAGGAGTGAGGTGAACTGTGTCCGACAAACACCTGCGGGACATCTGCGGGAAGTCGTCCGATCACTGATGCAGAAGAATCCTATGGCAGCAACATTGCCATGGATTTATATTCTGAACTTCTGAAGTTGTGTTTTTTCTTTCTTGTTTTTGAACTTTTTGTGCTTTTTCTTTTCAGTTCCCAAGAATGGGAGGCGATAAAAGAAAACAGAAAGACTCATTTTGATTGGCAGCTCTTCAAAAGATTAAGAAAAATCAAGTACTCGAAGGGCATGTTTTTGACCTCCTTACTTTTTTCCGTTCAATTGCAACCTCATAGAGTACTTGATTTTTCTCTCAAAATATATGAACTGCACGCTTCAGCATGGCAACCGTCAGAGAAGGGAGTCCCATCAGGCACACGAAGGGACTCCCTCGCGGTGGTACGCGAGCTTGCAACAGTCACGTACCACTCTGTCCTGATTAGGCATTGGCTGGATGGGGAGGGGGGGGAGGAGACGGGAGGGTTAGTCGGACGGCAGCACTTTCAAAAGTCGGCCTCCTTCCCATCTTGGGAAATGTGACGTTGCCATTTTTTGTTTAGAAGTCTTAAAAGTTACTTTTCTTCCGTTTCTTACAGTGCCGCACAGGTCATAATAGGCCATGACTCGTGTGCTAATGGAATCGCGCTCCGGGCGTTCCTTGCCCGACCCCACCGCGTTACCCGGCGCGACTTGGATTTCTAAGCTGTGAAAGCACTTGCGCGCCCGCAAACACCCAGCGCTCACACCCCTCAGCCACCTGAAGTCACCAAGCAACCCATCCAGATGGTAAGACCACGCCACATGGGCAGCACTCATGCGCCGGCCCCTGTGCCTGCACCTAGCACCATGTGCCCGCCTCAGCAACGCGCCCAGCGCTCGCGCCACAGCGCACGCTATGGTGTCCTCAACGACTTGAGGATGCGACTCTACAAGCGCCCCCAATTAGACTGACTCATACCCTAGCATTACTGAGCTAGGCCAGTTGGTGCAATACTTCCCCTTCCCTCCAGAGGCCGTTTTTAAGAATCGTCAAGTCAACCACGGTAGTTAGGCCCGTTGGTGCAATACTTCCCCTTCAAGTTCCCTCCAGAGGCCGTTTTCAAGAATCTTCCAGTCACCTCCCGTACGTGACTCGAAAATTGGCCCAAACGGGACGAGCTCAGCTGGCAAACCGATAACTGTAGAAATACAGACGTGTGCTCGGACCATATGTTTCCGAAATTACTTAGTGCGCGTAACTTGAAACCGGGGCGATTTGGTTGTGATGCACTGGGAACGTCGATGAAGGGGGGCAAATTAATCGCCCTCG